CTTTTTAGTGATCTCTTGCTTTCTTCATGGATAATGTTCTTGATATCTTCCCACAATTCATCTGGCTTTCGGTCACTGGTGTTCAATGCATCAAATCTGTTCTTTAGATGATCTCTAAATTCAGGAGGGATATATTCAAGATCATATTTTGGCTCTCGTGGACTTGTTTTAATTAAAACAATTAAAACAAGTCCACACTTATGGTAGTAGCTGGAAAATGGAAAAATAAAAAAAGGACTGCTGGAATCTATCATTCTTTATTTTTATTATTTAGTTCCATTGTAAATGATAGATTTGTTTTTTGTGTGTGAGATGTAGGCAGTCAGTAACTGTTAATTTGTCCCTGGGAAAGCACACCAAATGTGCTCTTGATGAAAGCCCTAGCTAACAGTGACATCACTTGTGTCAAGCCTAGTTTTCCTTGCATTCTCAGAGTAGTGCACATCAAGGTCAGGTCTAGGGATCAAATTCATCAGAATTATTTGTGGTAAATATCTGGAAAGCAGGATTCTGAGTCAATATATGTAAACAGATCTGGAAAAAAGTTACTTTAAACCATGTCCTGGATTCTGCATTTTAGTAGGTTTCCCAGGTAATCGTTATGCATACTAAAATTTGAGACTCATAGCCTTGTAGGAACACTGTGGACCATTTGTTCTTACAGGTATTAAAGAAAAACCATCTTCCCCACTGGAGAAGACTTACAGACCTTTCTGAGCTCACCTTCTGTCCCCACTACTGCTTTTAATGTTCTCCCACTTTTAGAGCCAAGCTTCTTTGAAAGTCAGTGCTCATTCTGACTAGAAGGGCAACTGATAACTCAACTGGTTTATGTTCTGGTGCTGAGTAGTATTTTGATGAGAAATAGTGCAAGGGCATTGGTGGAAGGGTAATGAGGGCTTCAGAAGCCTAGATTTATAGTTGAGGCCTCAGCTGAAATAGGTGCTCTTATGGGTGATGTGCAGCTTTCATGCAACTGTCTTTTCCTTGTCTAGATTACTTTTGTGGCCAATATTGTCAAACAAGTGGTGAAGGGGCTTTCAGCTTCCTTTCAGCTGCTAAGTCCATGCCAAGCAGTTCTACTGTACCAGCAGTTTTACATCCTCAAGAGCTGCCTGCAGTATAGCAAGACTCTAGCTGAGTATATTAGGAATGACTACAGAGAAGAATTCAGGTAAGAAAAAGTTCAGAACCTAATCTGCGCAACTCCCCTCATTTTCTAATTTTCATGCAAAACTACAACATAGTCTAGAAGACTAAATGATGATGAAAAATTCTATTTTTGTTTTTAATAATGTTTGACTTTGATCTGAGGTAGGATAGGATTTTGGAGAGCTCTAAGAACCATTGCCATTCTAAGTATATTCTCAGGCCAGAAAAGACAGTGAAACAAAACTCTCATTGAAGAATTGTTTCTCATTCATTGTCTTTACTGCAGTCAGCATCACAGAAGTAGTAATGAGTTTTAACCTGCTGTGAGTAATTAAAGGAGCTTTGGTGGTGCAGAGCTTAAGGCATTTGACTGCTATCCAGAAGGTTGGTGGTTCAAACCCACCAGCCACTCCTCAGAAGGAAGATTGGGCAATATACTTCCATAAAGATTTACCACCTTGGAAACCCAATGGGGGTTGCTATGAGTCAGAATCGACTCAATGGAAGTGGGGTGTGTGTGTGTGTGTGTGTGTAATTAAGAGAAACAAATCCTACTGAATGGCATGATAAATAATGAATTGGAATTCAGCAGAGTGATTGGAAGGAAACAATTGATAAAAGAGAAACAATTAATGAACAGGACTATTAGTTTTTGTTTCATTTACCCTTCTCTTACTCTCAGTAATAGAATGGCAATAAAAAAGCAGCAGCAAGCATTGGTTTCATCAGCTAGCCTGTTCTGCACCTTCTATTTATAGGCTGGAAAAGCCAAGTGCACTTAGCGATAAAACCCTGTATTAGCACTTACTAAGGAAAAAATGCAAGAAGTCCTGGCAGCACAGTCATTAAGCACTTGGCTACTAACCAAAAGGTTGGTGGTTTGAAACCATCAGCCACTCTTGGGGACAAATATGTGGTAGTCTGCTTCCACAAGGATTACAGTCTAGGAAACCTTACAGGACAGTTCTACTCTATCCTATAGGGTCGCTATGGAATATACTTGACAGCAACAGGTAAGGAAAAAGCCATGTTGTGTCTGATGTAAGATGAAAAGGATGCAGTAGGAGTAGTTTTGTCACTAGTTTGGGTTCAGATATAAAACAATGTGGAGACATACATTATGGCCTCAGACAAGCCTTTTTTAAAAAATGTTTAAGACTGATTTGTGGACCCTGTTTTTCCTCCATGTAGTTTTAAACCATAGCTTCTATTCCAGCTCCCAGAAAAGGGTTTTATTGCGTGCATTCTGAGTTGGTTCTTGTAACCCAATTTTTTCCCACCTCTTTGCTGCTGCTTCTTTTTAATGAAATAAAATTCACGTAACATAAAATACACCATTTTAAAGTATACAGTTCAGTAGATTTTAGTAAATTCACAATGTCATGTAACCATTCCCACTATCCAATTTCAGAACATTTTCATCACCCTACAAAAAAAATCCTGTACTTCTTAAACAGTCACTTCTCATCACCTCCCCTCACCAGCCCCTGATGACTACTAATTCATTTTCTGTCTCTATGGAATCAGATTAACTACATGTATGGTAAGAGGTGGGAGCTCTGGTAGCATAGTGGCTAAGGCACTTGACTGCTAACCAGAAGGCTGGCAGTTCAAACCCACCAGCCACTCCTTGGAAGGAAGGTTGGGCAATCCTACTTCCGTAGTGATACTGCCTCGGAAACCCAAGGAGGGGTCGCTATGAGTCAGGGCTGACTTGATGGCACATAACAACAACAACAACATGGATTTATATACTCTAGACATTTATATTTCATATAAATGGAATCATTTTATATGTGGCCTTTTATATCTGGCTTGTTAGCATAACATTTTTCCCAAGGTTCATCCATTTAATAGCATTTATTATGTAACCCAATTTTTAAAAATTAGTTAACAATGTTGACACATTGTGAAGAAGGTAAACAGTGACACTGAACAATCTGTACAGAAATTGTTAAATGGGGCATGTACTGTTTACTTTGCTACTATTTCCACCTCTAACTCAATTCTCAGTGCCCTCGAGTTGGGCCTGGCTCATAGCGATCCTTTCTGGGGTTTCTGAGGCAGTATCTCTGTGGAAGTAGATTGCCCAACCCTCCTTCTGAGGAGTGGCTGGTGAGTTTGAACTGCCAGCCTCTAGTTAGTAGTCATATCCCTTAGGCACTACACCACCAGAGCTCCCGTTTCCACCTCTATTACTTAGTATTACCCTGCCTCCCTAATTTAAGTTACCTGTGGGCATTTTGTTTGTGACTGTTGTTTTAAAGTAGTGATTTTGAACTTGCTGTGCACTAGAATCACCTGAGAAATATTAGAAAATGCTGATACCTGCGTCTCATGTGTATAAATTGTTTGAGTTTCTTGCGGTGGGGCTGGGCATTGAATTGACATTTCTTATATGCACTCCAGGTGATTCTAATGTGCAGGCAGGGTTGAGAATTACTAAAGGACTTCTTGCTTTTGTCTCTTCCTTTGCCTATAATTTTGCCAAAGCCATGAGGATGAGCCCTGTCCCTTCCCTCTTGACTTGTGCCTAGGGTCACCACAGCTTGACCCTTTCATTTCAACTCCCTAATGTGTACTGCCCGAAGAACCAAAATCAGGAGCCTCCACTCACACTGTGGTGAGGATATTCCTGGCTTCCTTATGAATGCTTTGATGACTTATACATTGTTAATGAAATGGACTTCCTCTGCAGAAGTAAAGTGCTTCAGTGAACTGACAGGCACACTCATTAGAGATTCTCTAGGTCACAAAAGAGGGAGCTGAAAATGCTGGCTGAGTTTTATGGCTTAGACTCCCACATCCAGCAACAACCCTATTCCAGTGAGGATGAATATGCTGATGCAGCTGATATGAAAATTCTTGTTTTTAAAGCTATTTTCTTTCTATTTTTATGATTCGCAGGTACTTTATTCACATGCCAGCCTTGGAAAAAAGGCTTCCGTTGTGTTACCCTATTACCCAACCTACTACTCAACTTATCCATGAAGTTCTTAACTTGGTTGAACAGAAACAATGTGTAAAATGTTAACAAGAATATAAAATGTTAATCAGGCATCAATATTATGAGAAACACTTATTTTTAAAATAACTGTTAATATCTGAGTATCCCTGCATCCTCTAAACAAAGATTTTATTTGAATGTTCCACCAATACTTCTCTAAGGGAAGTCTTTAGAGTTATCTGCTACAAACAAAATGGTCTGTATACATTCTTACATACATAAAGTGGTGCTAAAAACTACTGTTTATCCAGAAAGGACAGTGTCTTTCTAAAGACATAAAAACTATACAGAGAACAGAAGTTTATGGAAAGCAAATGCAGAAAATGTAATCTGGTAAGTTCCACTGGTAAAATAATGGTGACTGGTGTCAAGCTACTGACACATCCAAAGATAAATTGCTGTGGGGGAGTATAAATGATAGAGTGATCATTAGAGAAATGCTGAGCAATAGGATGACACTTTCCTTTTCCACCTGCAAAAATCCTAGTGATGTAACCATGGAAGATAAGCGAAGAATACTGGCATAACGATACTGAATATCCGAATCTTATTTATTACACGGAGAGATGCTTGGACTTTATTCAACAAAATTAAATGCATTCTACCACTCTACTTCAGTCATCTGTGGGCTTTCTCAGTTTCAGCTGTCACCAATATCACCCCCACAAAGTATCCAAGTCTTCTCTACTGTCACCCGTTAAGGAGTCCATGTCTCCCATCCTTCCCTTTGGGGGAGGAAAAGGGAGCAAAATGGTGTTTATGACTGTTCTGAGCAGATAGATGGGGATTATTCACAACGGATGGTATGTTAGGCTGGGTTCTCTGGAGAAGCAAAAGCAGTGAAGCATATATATATGGATTTGGAGAGAGAGAGAGAGAGAGAGAGAGAGAGAGATTGATCTCAAGGAAATAGCTCATGCAGTTGTGGAGACTGCTAAGTACCAAATCCATGGGTCAGATATCAAGCTGGAAGCTTCTTATGACTTATGCAGCTGCAGGGGCTCAGGAACATAAGATTGGCAGGCAACACAGTAGGCTGCTGGTTTTAATTTTCCAGGAGCTCTGTTGGTACAGTGGTTAAAGCATTTGGCTGCTAACCAAAAGGTCTGTGGTTTGAACCCACCAGTCACTCCACAGGAGAAAGATAAGACAGTCTGCTTCCATAAAAGTTTTACAGCCTTGGAAACCCTATGGGACTATTCTATTTTGTCCTATAGGGTTGCGATGGGTGAGAATCAATTCAATAGCAGTGTTTTGGTTTGGTTATTCTAAGTTTTTTATATAGTATGGCCCTTTGATATAGCATAACTCATTCCTGTAGAGATTTGAATAAACTATAAATCAAACTATATATTTCCATTACAAATCGTTGAGTGAGCTTATCATACTTAAACATGTTTAAGTGGAATTATTTTCCTCATTGCCTCACTATACCCTTAATAAAAACCTGTTCTTCCACTGCTCTTCTAAGTAGATGGTACTCTATTCACTCAACTGCTCAGAATAGAAACCTGCGAGACCACTGTGTTTTTTTTTCTCTTCATTCTCCATATGCAGTCCATCAGCAATGCTTACTGGCTTTTCCCCTAAAATATAGTCCTAATCTGCAGACTTTCCATAACTACTGCTACTACCTTAGTTCAGATCTCCATCACCTACTACAGTAGTCTTTCTAGTCACTCAGCTTTCACCCTTGACAGCTATAGTTATCTAAGATGAAAGTGGAGTGATCTTTTAAACAAAGAAATCAATAATATTTCTTATTTACCATTAAAAAACCCAAAAAACCAAACCCTTTTGCCATTGAGTTAATTCTGACTCATACTGACCCTACAGGACATACTAGAAGTACCCCCATAGGATTTCCAAGGCTGTAAATCTTTATGGAAGCAGACTGCCTTATCTTTCTCCTGTGGAGTGGCTCGTAGGTTCAAACCACAGACCTCTTGGTAAGCAGCCGAATATTTTAACCACTGCACCATCAGAGCTCCTTCATTTACCATTACCCAAGATTAGATCCAAAGTCCCTACCATGGATCTCAAGGCACTACATGACCTGGCCCCTCACTACATCTGTGACCTCATACTAAATCATTCTCCTTTTCATCCCCAAACACACTGGCCTTTGTGATATTCACTGGAAGGAACAGGACCTGGAAATCTGCACTGGCAAATGCCTTTATCCCACATCTTCAAGTATCACTTCAAAGAGGGGTTCATTTATCACTCTACCTAAAGTAGCCTCCCATCCATCCATAGCACATTATGAAATTATCCTTTTAATGCATTTGTTCACTGGCTTATTCTTTGCAGTTGAACAACTTAAGCATGTAAGCTCTATGAGGATTTAGCCCCCATTTGTCTTGTTCAATACTATAACCACAGATACTTGGAACTGTGCCTGGCACAAAGCAAGTGCCTAATCTATGCTGAAAGGGGCTCTGGTAGTGTGGTGGTTAAAGCATTTGGCTGCCAACCAAAATGTCAGAGGTTCAAACCCACCAGCTGCTCTGCAGGAGAAATATGAGGCAGTCTGCTTTTGTTAACACTTACAGTCTTGGAAATCCTATGGGGCACTTCTACTATGTCCTATAGAACTGGGGAGTAGGAATCGACTCAATGGCAGTGGGTTTGTGTTTGGGTTTAATCTATGATGAATGAGGGAATGGAAATAAAATATACAACAAATAAAAATTAGGATGAGGATTATTTACTGGCTTAAGATTTCATTATGACTTTTTTTTCTTAAAACCAACGTGACAGTTGGCCTCTGAAGAAACCTCCAACAATATGACCCTTCCCTGTAGGTGTATGCCACCCTTGCCATTAAGAGTTAGAACTTACGTCCCTTCTCCTCTCATCTGGGCTGTGCCTGTGACACTGTGGACAAGAGAATGTGGAGGAAATGACTAGGACTTTTTAGCCCAGGAATTAAGCAAGTCTGGTTGCTTCTGCTTCTCCCTTGTGGAGTCCTGAGCCCCCACAAGAAGAAGTCCTGGAAAATGAGCCACCATGTGCAGAAAAGAGGCCTCATAGAGAAGTCCCAGTTCCCATCTCACAACAAACTTATGAGAGACCCTAAGTGAGACCTGTAGATTTGCCCAGACGATTCACAGAACTGGGAGAAACAATAAAATGGTTGTTTTAAACCTCTTAAGTTTTGGGGATTGTTTATTACACAGCAATAAACACATAGTTGAGAACATTTTCATTTATTTATTAAAATTATACAACATTATAGAAGCATTAGGGTAATCCCAAATAAAAATAAAACAAAGACTTCACCACAATCAGGCTACACTATTTAACCCAAATGTTTTATGCCTTACCCAGGATATGTATATAGTGATTTTTTTTTTTTTTTTGGGGGGGGGTGGTTTGTTTTACTAGCAAGGAAAGCAATGATGTGGAAGAGGGAGGAGGCTGTGACATAGTATTTCAAGCACTATTTATTTGGTTGTTTGTGGGCTGTTCTTGAAAATCTATCATTCTTTATAAGATTTTTTTTTAATTGTGATTTGGGTGAAGAATTACAGAGCAAATTCACTTTCCATACAGCAGTTCACATACACTTTGTCTCATGACATTGACC